GGAGATACTTGAGATCCAGGGCATTGGGCTCTAAATATCAGCTTCTTTGTGTCTTGGTTCTTCATGCTTGTTCTTCCTTCTACCCACCATCTTCCTCCTCCTCCTCCTCCTCCTCCTCCTCCTTCCCCTCTTCCTCCTCCCCCTCCTCCTCCTGCTCCCGCTCCTGCTCCCGCTCCTCCTCCTCCTCCCCCTCCTCCTCCCCCTCCCCCTCCTCCCCCTCCTCCCCCTCCTCCCCCCTCCCTCCTCTTCGTCCTCCTCCTCCTCCCCCTCCTCCTCCTCCCCCTCCTCCTCCTCCTCCTCCTACCCCTCCTCCTCCTGCTCCCGCTCCTCCTCCTCCTCCCCCTCCTCCTCCCCCTCCCCCTCCTCCCCCTCCTCCCCCTCTCCCTCCTCTTCGTCCTCCTCCTCCTCCTCCTCCTCCTCCTCTTCCTCCTCTCCCTCCTCCTCCCCCTCCTCCTCCTCCCCCTCCTCCCCCTCTCCCTCCTCTTCATCCTCCCCCTCCTCCTCCCCCTCCTCCTCCTCCTCCTCCCCAGATAGGTACTTGCCTTTCAGACCCTCTATGGATGTGTTCATGCTGTCACTTTTCTTTATGGTAACAGATGTGGCCTAGCGCAGCCAGCCTCCATCAGCTGGTGACCCAAGTTCCCCTTTTATCCCTCTGGAGTCACACCTCTCCTCTCACCCCATTCCACTCCTCACCATGATGGCCCGTGACTCCGTGCCTCGTCTTGTGTGATTCACCATGGTGACAGGCATGAGGAAGATCTGGTTTCTAAGCCCCCTTCCTACTCTCCATCCTGTAGGTGGGCAGAGCTGTCCCAGGGTGTCACGGCGAGGTCGGCTCTTTTACTGCAAAGCAAGACAGGAAAAAGGCAGCAAGGAAGTGAGCTCCGAGTGATTCCATCTGCCCTTGGTACCCCAAAAGGCTACAGTTCCCTGAGTCTGTACCCCACATTAGACTGCATTAGTGATCCTATATGTCCTCTCTACCCCACGTTGGCCGCTGTTGCTATATATAGACGTCTAAGGAGCCCATTTCCCAGGTCGATTAGTCAACTCTTTAACACTACATTGGCTCATGGTTTCAGTCTACGGTCAGCTGGCTTGTCAGTCATTGCTTTTAGGCCTTTGGCAAAGCAGGAATTTCAGGGCAGGGAGGTGGAGTGGAGCTGCTCACTCATGGTAGCCAGGAAGCAGAGAAAGAAAGACAGGGCAAAAGTCTAGGGACAAGATAGACAAGATAGACAAGGGCACACCCCAGCCACCTACTTCCTCTAACTAGAGCCCATCACCTTCTCCTTCTCCTCTTCTTTTTGTGCTGGCACTGTCACTTGAACTCAGGGCCTGGGTGCTGTTCCTGGGCTTTTTGCTCAAGGCCACCACTCTACCACTTGAGCCATACCTCCACTTCTGTAGTTTTCTTTTTTATTTCTTGGTGTTTTTTTTTTTCCCTGCCCCTTCTCCCCTACCCCACTGGTTAACTGGAGAGAAGCGTCTCATGGACTTTACTGCCTGGGCTGTGTTCAAACTGCAATCTTCAGATTGTAGACTCAGCCTTCTGAGCAGCTGGAATTTCAGGTGTGAGCCACAGATGCCCAGCTGAGCCCTACCTTTCTCCAATAGCCTTGTTAGCAGGCATGCCCCATTTGTTGTTCTCCCAGTGCCAGGGGTCAAACCCAAGGCCTTACACATGCCAGGCTCAACCATTGAGATACAACTCCAGGTACCACTTGAGCAGAACTGCAGACTGAAAAGGCTCATTTTATAGTGTAGAAAACTTGGAAAACTAGTGTGTGTGTGTGTGTGTGTGTGTGTGTGTGTGTGTGCTGGCCCTGGTGCTTAAACTCAGGGCTTGGGCACTCTCCCTGAGTTTTTTTGCTCTACCACTTGGCCACAACTCTACTTCTGGCTTTTTCGTGGTTAGTTGGAGATAAAATTCTCACAAACTTTCCTGCATTGGACTGTCTTTGAACTGCAATGCTCAGATTTCAGCCTTGAAAACTGTTCTTTTTAATGCTAGTATATAGATGAGGCATGATGCAAACCTGGATTGGGATGGCTAGATAGTGAAGAGGTTTTCCTCTCTCTAAATTTCCTTCATCTTGTAGCCACACTTTTCCCTCAGTTGAAAATGAAGAGCTAAGCTAGGTGCCAACGGCTCACACCTGCAATCCTAGCTACTCAGGAGGATGAGATCTGAGGATCACGGTTCAAAGCCAGCCCAGGCAGGAAAGTCTGTGAGATTCTTATCTCCAATTAACCACCAGAAAACAAGAAGTGGTGCTGTGGCTCAAGTGGAAGAGTGCTAGCCTTGAGCTGAAAAGCTGAGGGACAGTGCTCAGGCCCAGATTTCAAACCCCACAACCAGCAAGAAAGATAGAAAGAAAGAAAGAAAGAAAGAAAGAAAGAAAGAAAGAAAGAAAGAAAGAAAGAAAGAAAGAAAGAAAGAAAGAAAGAAAGAAAGAAAGAGAGAAAGAAGAGAGAGAAAGAAGAGAGAGAAAGTAGAGAGAGAAAGAGAGAGAGATAAGAGTACTTCTGCAGCAGGGTGCTGGTGGCTCAAGCCTACAATCCTAGCTACTCAGGAGACTGACAGCTGAGGATCTGAGCATGGCAGTTCAAAGCCAGCTAGGGCAAGAAAGTCCATGAGACTTTTATCTCTAATAAACTACTCAGAAAAAGCTGAAGTGATGCTGTGGTCCAAATGGCAGAGCATAGAGAGGCTTGGGAACAGTGCCCAGGCCCTGAATTCAAACCCCAGGACCAGCAAAAAAAAAAAAAAAAAGTGCTTCGACAGAGAGTAGCTTTGTTCTCCTACAAGTGTTGGGGATCATGTGGCAAGTGGGGGGAATTGCTGTCTTGCTCAGTGGGCAAGGGGTGAGCGGAGACAGGGGTGGGGAAGAGTGTTATCGACCTCCATCTGAGGCCCTTCTCTATGAAGTAATAAGCTATCAGAGACAGCTTCCTGTTGCTGCTGCAGATGCTGTAACTTCCTTTATCACTGACTGAGGCAAGGAAGCTTGCATTGTACCCTTGAGGTTGGTGTCCGGCAGCCCAGAGCAGAAAGAAGAGGGTCACGCCATGCTGGACCTGAGCCCCAGTGGGGTGTCTCTGTGTGGAGCCATTCCTGCAGGGCAGGAGTCCCAAAAGTGCCCCTGGGAGCAAGTGGTCTCCTCAGCTTTGGCAGGTGTTGGCTTGTGGTTCAGGAGTGAGCAAGACATGGGCTTGCCAGCACTAAGCATGTATTAGCAGTGCACCTGACTTCACTGGCTCATTGATCCATGCCACAAACATTTGTTGAGTGTCTACTGAATACAGGCAGAGTTCTGGCAGTGAGATATAGAAATGAAGAAGCACATAGATCATCAATGAGTTTCTTTGGGTGAGGTACCCATGGCTCATGCCCGTAGTCCTAAATACTCTGGAGGCTGAGATCTGAGGATTAAAGTTTGAAGCCAGACTGAGAAGACAAATTCAAGAGACTCTTATCTCCAAGTAACCAGCAAAAGAACCAGAAGTGGAGGTGTGGCTCAAGTACTAGAACACTAGCCTCGATCAATAAAGCTAAGATCACCAGGCCTGAGTTTAGTACCAGCATACATGCATAGATGTATGTATATGCTACCCCCCACACACACTTAGAGGAGCATCCTTGTTGGTACAGAATGCACAAAGTTGTGAAATTTCAGAGCCAAAAGGAGGCCGGAAGTGAGTGTATTCAAACTCCATAGAGGGTGTCTCAGTGCTAGAGCATGCACTTAGCATGTACTTAGCATGTGCAAAGGCCCCGGACCCCATCTCCAGCACCAAGGGAACAAATGAAAGCCCTTGGACATGAGGAAAATTCAATCCAGTGGGGACAGATGCCTTAAACCTGAAGGCCACGGAAGTTCTGGTCACATGGAGCTTCTACTTATCTCGGACACCTGCTACCAGGTTGACAAGGACAAGCCGCGGTGCTGCTCCACTGCAGGACACACCCATGCACGCTCATCACAGGATGACGCCACCGTTCCTCAGGGGGTCAGCACACCCCGTCCTAGCCCCCAGTCAAAGAGGAAGCTCTGAGATCACACGCCAGAGATTGGAAATACACAGGGTTCTGGGATCCTCAGTGGAAAGCGGCCTGGTGAGTGCTGGGCAGCATCGTGCAGGGCTCGGATCCAGGGTGTTGGCAGGAAGACCAGAGCTGCATAGACGGGTAGCAGAATTAGCAAGTCGAAGGGCTGGGCTCGGCTTCCACAGGTTGGAGTCACAGCGTTGGTTCTTGCTGGGCAAATGTGGAGAGCACAGTTGCCTAAAATCCCGAGAGAGGAAGGAGCGCATTTCTTCACACAAGTCATGAAAAGGAAGGCCAACACTGCTATGGACCTAACTCTGGCTTTCTCAGCTTAGTTTGGAGAAATAAAAACGCACCACTCTAATTTGTAACAGAGGAACCTCTGGCTGGTTTTCCTTTATTTGTTTTGAGATGGGGTTTTGCTATGTAGCTCTCAGACTGTCATCAATCTCTTGATCTTCCTGCCTCTGCCTCCCAAGTGCTGAGATTACAGGCATGCATTACCACTCCTGGCTTCCACTCATGTTCTTAACTTATAGTCACATTGCAGATACATTCACATTAGAAGGGATCTTTGCTAACAACGAGGGACCTGCTTCTTCATTCTGCAGATGAGGAAGAACAAGAGTCCCTCCAGTGGAAGCCAGCTGTGAGTCCAGGCAGCAGTCTGGTGCTGGACTTGAACCCAGGACTCTTGGCACAGTGCTCTTTCCATGAGTGTGTTCATGGTACTTAAATGTGTGCACTTCTGGAGGGAGAGACTGCTAAGCACTATCTGCACTGAGGAGGAGGGCAGCGCATGCTCTAATGAAGCAAGGGGTGTTATCTGTGCTCAGCAGCCTGTGTGTGCATCTGAGCCAGATGCTATCTTCTCAGCGGCTGTACCCTGCTTCTTTGGACATGATGAAACATTTGTGACCAACTTCCAGTGACGGAGAAGGTTCTGGCTAAGGAAGTTGGCAAGGTTTCCGTGTGTCCATTAGGATCTGGCTGCAACTCAGCCTGGGCTCAGACCTTGTCCAGGGCCCCAGAGGTAAGTAAGTAGCATGGTAGATAGCACAGCGGTAAGTTAATTTGTGGGATGTATGTTTGTCTGTGGACACAGATGCAAGAAGCTGCAGGTAGGATTCTCCCTTTCTGGGTTATGGATGCCAGGATGTGGGATGCAACTTGCAAACCATGTGGAGTGAGCTGAGATTCAGCAGTTTGAACTGTTTGGATGTTGCTCTCTGGTTCTGAGATCTGAGATCTTTCAGTTTATGTAGTGGTGGCCAGTAGGGCGCTGGCTAGAAGGTGGCTGGTCTTTGGACCTAGAAAACACTGACTTCAAAACACTATTCTGCAAAATGCGATAATCCTCGGTTTTCACATCTGTAAAATGGGTTCGAATCTGCAAAGATTCAGATATAGGCACTCAGTTCAGTACTCTCCAGCAGCTGCAGCTGTTGCGTTTACTTTTGTGTCCGATGGGAACCAGATCCCAGAGAAAAATTCTCCCCCCCGCATCCAAAGTATTTTTCTTGAGACACATTCTGAGCTGCAAAGGAAGCAATTTGTGTGGCAATCTGAAGACCTGCCTGCAAAACGGGGGTAATAATGCCATGGATGGAAGCCGGAAAATGAGTGCTGTCGGAGAAAAGTCATGCAGACATTTGTGCAGGGCCAAGCCTACGCCCGCAGAAAGCAGTCACAGCTGACTCTTCAACAGAGCTGACCGGGCAGCAGGCACGGTTCCTGACAGACCCATGTGAATCTCATGCATGAAGTAGTTAAGGGATTTATAGTTGAGGAGATTGAGGAACCCTGATATTAAGCAGCTTGACTGACTCAGGGCGGGGAAACATTTCTGAGGACCTTAATTCAAACGAGCATCCTTACCCCAGGTCCTTCTTCCTTGTCTCCCCAGCCACTGCCCAGAGGGACGGATGGGGCACCCAGGGGCCTGGCTGATTGGCCTTCCTTACCTCTTGTGCTATGCATTGACCTCATTAGAAAAGCTTTGGCCATTGTACCCCAGTTAAGGGTCTTCAGCAGAATGAAAGAGTAGTATCCCTTATTTACATAAATGTATTTTGTGTCAGTACTAGGACTTGAACTCAGGGCCTCATACCCTTGCTTAGTTTTTTCTGCTCAATGCTAGCTCTCAGATTTGTCTGCCTGTGCTGGCCTTGTATGGAGATCCTCAGATCTCAGCCTCCTGACTAAGTAGGATTTACAGATGTGAGCCTCCGGTATCGTCTTGTTCAAAAATGACTAAGAATTCAAAGATGAGAACAGCAAATCATGAAGGCAATCACAGAGGCCTGGGGAACTCATGACTATGAGCCCACGAAGCCAGGCCGGGGTCCTGGAGTCTGACAGCAAGACAGGAAGAGCTGTGATGTTCTATGGTCTTCTGCAGCCCTCTGGGCAACTGTGGGAGGGAGACACTTGACTTGGAAAGAAGAGAAAACCTGAGCTTTGGCACTGTTACACAGCTCCGTCGAGGTCAAGCAATGTTTATTTACTATGCTTTATTTTTCAAATAGGGTCTTCTATGTATGCCTCAGTCAGCCTAAACTGTGATGGGGCACCTGGATGTAAACATCTGTTGGGATGACAAGTATTCACAGCCACACAGTGTTTATGAGTTGAGATGAGGACTTACAAACTTTTTGCCTGGGTTAGCCTCAAATCAAGATCCTCCTGATCACTGCCTCCCAAGTAGCTGGGACTCCAGACATGAGCCTGGCTTGCTTCTCATGTTTAAAATTTGGACTGTTCATTTTAAAATAGCTGGCCTTCTAGAGCTCATTTGCAAGATTAGTTTTGGTTTTGTTCTGCATTTGTGGATTTTCTGTTCCTTTCCCCCTTACCCCACTTGGGGATTCTAGTGTTTTTCACACAGGTATATGTATGTGTGTATGTGTGTGTACATATGTATATATGTATATATAGGTGTGCATATATAAAGATGTCATCTCTTTTAAATTATGATTTGCCATTACTTGGTGCAAGTGTTTTTTAAAATCTGCTTGCCTTTACATTTTAGTTTTAACTAATAAAGTTTTAATATTTTACAGTCAAATCTATTTTTCATACATTCCTTTATGATTTCTTCCAGAGCCCATACAACTAAGAAATTTTCTATCATGTGGAGATTTAAAAAGTAGTACTAACTATATGGATATTTGATTTTATTCCCTTATAATTTTATTTTTTTTATTTTTTATTTTTTTTGGGTCCGGTCGTGGGGCCTGAATTCTGGGCCTGGGCGCTGTCCCTCAGCTCTTCAGCTCAAGGCTAGCGCGCTACCACTTGAGCCACAGTGCCACTTCCAGCTTTTTTCTTTTTTCTTTTGTGGTGCTGAGGAATGGAACCCAGGGTTTCGAGCATGCAAGGCAAGCGCTCTACCACTGAGCCACCTTCCCAGCCCCTCCCTTATAATTTTAATGTCTCCATTTAGACATACTTATCTCCGGTTGGCCCCAGTGATATATGCCTGTAATCATACCTTCTCAGGAGACTGAGAGCTAAAGGATCATGGTTTGAGTCCAGCCTAGGCAGAAAAGCTCACTAGAGTCCATCTCCAAAATAAGTATCAAAAAGCTGGGTTGGGGGCATGGCTGAAGTGGTAGAGATTCGGCTTAATAAGCATAAGGCCCTTAGTTCAAAACCCAGTAATGCATACCAATTCCTTTGGAATGTAAGTTGTCTTTTTCCTTGGTAGCTTTTTCCATTGGCTTCTACATACCATTTGTTGAACCACTTGTTTTCTGAGCTACTTTTGTGACCTATTTATTATTGTACGTACTGTACATATTTTTCAAGTCTATACTAGTTTTAAGTGCTAGTCAGAACCCTTTCTTCTCACAAATATGTTTAAACTCGTTTTGATTGTTCTTTTCCCTCAGATAAACTTTAGAATAATCTGGAGTTATAAAAAAATTCTCACTGCAAATCTGATTGCAATAATATTGAGCCAGCAAGTTGAGTTCAGAAGTACTGTTTAGAAGTCTTCTAGGTTTGCCATCAGGAACATTGTCTTTCTGTTAAGTCCTGTTCTCAGCCAAGTTTTATTATTTTCTACCAGATATTTTCTTGTAATTTAGACTTTTTTTTTTAGCATTTCCATAGTTATTATCATTAAATTTCAGTGTATTTTTTCTTTTTATCGTTGACACAATACAAAGGACAACTTGCAATTGTAGAATCTTTATCACAACATAAAGCTTTACCAAGAAGCCTCTTTAATTCCATTAGCTTAGGGAATGTTTTTGTTTTTGATTTTTGGGTCCGGTTAAGGGGCCTGAACTCTGGGCCTGGGCACTGTCCTCAGCTCTTCAGCTCAAGACTAGCGCTCTACCACTTGAGCCACAGCACGCTACTTCTGGCTTTTTTCTTTTTGCTTATGTGGTGCTGAGGAATCGAACCCAGGGCCTCAGGCATGCCAGGCAAGCGCTCTACCACTGAGCCACCTTCCCAGCCCCTGGCTTAGGGAATGTTATGTATAAGATCATACATTTCACAAATAAGGATGCACCTGCTTTCTCTTTGTCTCATGCTATACTTTCATTTCTTTAGCTGTATTATTTTTTTGTCTTTTCTTTTTTGGTACTTGGGATTGAACCTAAACTATCATTAAAGCTACTTAATTCTAAAAATCTAATTATTGATTTAGATTCCTTCAATCCATATGATTTTCATAGAAATCATCTTCTTTGTACGGCACACAAATATGCACATACAAGCATTCATACCACTTCTAGGGCTTTACCTCAGGGCCTGGACACTAGTCATCTAGCTTTTTTTTTTTTTTTTTGGGTCCGGTCGTGGGGCCTGAACTCTGGGCCTGGGCGCTGTCCCTCAGCTCTTCAAGGCTAGCGCTCTACCACTTGAGCCACAGCGCCACTTCCGGCTTTTTTCTTTTTGCTTATGTGGTGCTGAGTAATCGAACCCAGGGCCTTAGGCATGCAAGGCAAGCGCTTTACCACTGAGCCAACTTCCCAGCCCCTCATCTAGCTTTTTACTTGAGGCTGGTGCTCTACCATTGAGTCATACCTCCACTTCTGGACTTTTTGCTGGTTACTTGTAAAGAAGACTATAACAAGACTTTCCTGCCCCAGCTTTCTTCAAGCCAGGAACCTCAGATCTCAGCCAGCATTGATGGAAAAAAAAATCAAGGCCTAGAGTTCGAACCCAGTACTTATACATATTTACTGCTTACAGATATTTGTATACACAAACACACACATGTACACACAGGAAATAATGTTTCAAAAATTTGGGAGCATATAGCACAATAGAATAATATTTGGGTGCAATTTGTAAAATGCATTTCTCATTTATATTTTTTGTTCTTTTACCACAAATATCTATACATTGTGTATTTTTAATTTTATTTTAAGGGTGATGTACAGAGGGATTACGGTCATATAAGTAATGAGTACATTTCTTGTCAAACATTGTTACCCCCTCCCTTGTTTTCTCCCACTTTCCCTCCCCCAACATGGTGTAATTTTTAGCACATAAAATGGAGAGGCAGCAGCTGGGTGGTTGGCTTGTTATCCCAGCCCTGGGGAGGCTGAGGCAGGAGGACTGCACATTTGAAGCCAGCCTAGGCAGCATAGTGAGACCCTTTCTCAATAAACAAACAAGTAAGTAAGCTGGGCACCAGTGGCTCACACCTGTAATCCTAGCTACTCAGGAAGCTCAGATCTGAGGATCACAGTTCAAAGCCAGTCTGGGCAGGGAAGTCAGTGAGACCCTTATCTCTAATTAACCACCAGAAACCCAGAAGTGGCACTGTGGCTCCAGTGGTAGAGCACTCGCCTTGAGCTGAAGAGTTCAAGGGACAGTGCCCAGGCCCAGAGTTCAAGCCCCACAACCGATAAAAGATAAAAAACAAGAAAGTAAGTAAATACATAGGGAGAAGAGCTTTACAAAAGCAAGATTGTGGAGTGTACTTCCAGACCATGGCCGTGGTGACTCACCGGATGCCCCTCTAATGGCCTCTGCCTCTTGTCACCACTCTCTTACCACACCCCTGGTGAACTAAGGGCAGATTGTCTACCCTTAGGGGAAGGGTAGGAGGAAATAAGAAGAAGCCTGATGCTAAGAAAGTGGTCTGTGGTGCTGCTAGGCACTGCATTGCTGGGCATAGGGAGAATGAGAAGCCTCTGCTGCAGACAGGAAAGAAATTCTCCCATTTAGGAGCTCCTGTCAGGATCCCAAATCTTCCTTTATGAATGACACTGACTAGTGTTCTTTGAGAGGGATGAGGTTCGGTGCCCTCACTCAAAGACGTGAAAAGGAAAGGCTGGCTGGACTTAGGGTCCTGTGGGGGAAGCATCTACAGTTGCTCACATAGCATGTAGACAAATGAGCTACACATGCGCTGTGCTGCTCCAGCTTCTGACCTCTTTCCAAAGCCACTCAAAGGAGTAGCTGGTTGCTGTGTTCCTTTCTCTCTGGAGACTTCCAGCAGGCCCTTACTGCCATAGAGAGGCAGGGGTGGCAAACTCTGTGACCCTCCATCATGGCTTCTTTGTGTGGTGTGTGAATGTGTAAGCGTGTGTTTGCTGTGTGAACTTGGGTGTGTGCATTTAATGCCTGGACCTCTTCAAAGATTCTACACTAGTATCATTAGCTCATCAGGATCCCATGTTTCCAGCAACTTCTGAAGGCTCTCCTGGAGCACAGAGGCATGGATAAGAGTACAGGTTTTGAGGGTAAGGGGTGGGGGGCCAGGCACAGAAATGGGAGGGTAAAGGGTAAACAATGCAGCAGGGGTACTCACTAGACACTATGGGGTAGGGAGGGGAATAAAAAACTAGGAGACAGTGAGGGAAGGAGTAACATTGTCTACAAAGAAAGGTACTCATTAGGCACTCTACCTACTTGAGTCACGCTTCCAGACCTGCTTTTTGCTGGTGTTTTAGAGATGGGAGTTTTGTAGACTTTACTGCCCAGATTGAGATTTTTCTGGGTCTCAGCTTCCTGAGTAGTTTAGACTACAGGTACTGAGCCAATGGCATCTGAATTCGTAATAAATTTTTACCAGTTTTAAATTTGATACTTTTATCTTTGGGGATTTGTATTGCTTAGTAAGATCTTTATGCCTATTTAAGCACATTAAGGATTTAATTATCATTCATGCTTGAGATATTTTCTTTAGTTTTTAATGACTTTAGTTAGGGAAAAAATGCATATAATGAACATATCAACATTTTCCTTAATGTTGTTTTTTTTGATGAATTGACAGCATATCTAGAAAGTTTATATCTATGCTAAGTTGGTGTAAATATTCCTTTATAAGTGTTTATAAAATGTTTTGTTTCATATTTTCAAGTAAATCATTCTCTAATGTATAATGTAATCTGGTGTGTGGCTAAGGATAGCACATCGATCTTGCTAATGTAAGCCAATTCTCCTGGAGCTACTAATTATGTTGTACTTTCATGACTTATTAGAATGGCCTTATCCTTTAATAAATTCAGGTAATACTTTGCTTATTCGTATACACGCTTTCCTACCTGATTTGATTCTATGCTGCTGCACTGTATGTATTACTACAAATGTTAAAAACACTATATACATTGTATTCGGTTTTAATTCAACTTATTACTTGGTTAGACAGAATATTTGTTTTGTTTTGTAACAATGCTGTTTAAAATGACTCAATTTGTCAAAACTAATGTGGAGTTCCATTCCTAGGCTATTGTTAAAATGTGGTTTAAATTGGTTTTATATTCTTGTTTTAAGTAATTATAATCATCTCCATAACAATATTAGCAACAATCATTTCATTATAACTGTGCTTAATGGTTTTAAGGCTCTCTGTTGCTACAATAGATATCATAGTCTATATCTAGATTATTGTCTACATTGTTTTGATTTCTTTCTCAATGGACTTAAATTAGACTTGAAATACTATACAACTTTTCAGAAGACTCATCAGCAATGTCCTCCCTCCATTAGCTCCTACATACACATGCTGAATATCAACACATGTAGATACGTAAATCTATGACTTTGTTCTATTGCTGGTCTGTATGTTTATAATTTGGTTGGGTATAGATGTTAGGGATTTTTTTTTCTTTTAGTCATTCATGGGGCTTGAACTCTAGGCCTGGTCGCTGTCCCTGCGCTCTTCAGCTCAAGGCAAGCGCTCTACCTCTTGAGCATAGCGCCACTTCCGGTTTATTGGAGATGAGAGTCTCACAGACTTTCCTGCCCGTGCTGGCTTTGAACCGTGATCCTCAGCTCTCAGCCTCCTGAGTAGCTAGGATTACAGGCATGAGCCACAGGTGCCCAGCTATAGGGAAATAGTTTTTAAATTTTCTTGAAAGCATCTGTTCATGTAACATTTTCATAAAATTCTTAATTTGGTTCATTGAAAAAGAAGAGTGCAGATTTGGAGCTCAGGCAGGCCTAGTCACATGCCAGCCACGTGATCTTAGCTGTCACTCATTGGTGCCTTCTGTTGCTTGCTTTTGCTCGGAGAATGAGGTGAATCAAGATGGAGACAGGGTGTGGCTAACAGAGTACTGGTGAGCTGCCTATTTTGCATATTCAAAACACGAAGTCTGGAGAGAGATCAGCAAATGATCCTCTCAAGCAGGTGAACTTGCCTGATGGGAATTGAGGCTCAGGGCCCAGAAGTCCTGACCCCGGGCTTTACCTCCTGCAGGCTGCCTGGAGGGTCCTGAAGGCAGCAGCAGTGTTACCAGACAGGGCACCTGGGCAGTTCCTCCTGGATCTCTTCCTGCTGTCCCCCAAAGAGGCCGAGCCCTGATTAACAACCAGCAGCTGTTCGGCCAGAAGTTCACCATGCTGATGAGGTAAGTGGGCTGTAGAACAGCCCAAGCAGGGCTCCAAGCTAATCGGCATAGCTGGCTTCCAGGTAAGTCCTGGCAACCTCAAACATGTTGTCCAGGGAGGCGAAGGGACCTGACCTGAGACTCATCACAACACAGATGTTTGCCTCTGGCTGGGGCAGGAATAGGTTTGTGGCCTCTGACTTTGACCAATTCCTTTCCCGACAGACAGATGGAGCTCTGGCATGGCGTAGTCATTGCAATCGTGTCCTTCTTCCTCCAGGCCTGTCTCCTCCTGGCCATCACTTACCTGCTCACCAGACACATGGGTAACTCACCCACTTCCTTGCCTCTCCTAGTCCCCTTCAGAGCCATTCCCCAGGAGCCCCAGGAGCCCACTGGTTTTCAAAACCAAGCCAAGGACCCACTGGCCAGGGCCCACTGGCCAGGGCCCTGTCACCGGCACCCTCCACCAACCTGTGGCCATAATCCCCACCACAATCCAGCAGTGCTAATTTAACTGTGCAAAGCCCAGAGACTCTACAGGATGGTGCTTCAAAGGTTTTTCCAGTAAAAGAAGTCCACCTTTTTCCCTTGTTCTATCATTCATTTGTTCACTCATTCATTCACCAAATAGATACTTACCAGGCATCTCAGGCCCTGCCTAGGTCCAACACATCACCACAGAAATTCCTACCCTGGGGAACTTCCATGTCACTGGAGAGCAAGATAAAAAAGCCACGCAGCCATGTCTGGGAGAGTGTGGCAAATACTTAGACATGAATTGGGAACGAGCCGGCTCTCTGAGTCGCTGGTCTCTTCCTATAGACAGACTTGCAGGAAGGGAGTCACACTGCAGAAGCCCAAAGCAGGCATGCTTGGGTTGGGCTGGGCTAGGCACAGCAGGGTCCAAGAGATGGGCCAGAGGCCATGCAGGGAAGCCGAGGAGAGGGGTGGAGGTGGGGCCGTGGAGGGCCTCAGAGGGGAGCTTTTCCTCCCCGCAATCCCAGAGATCTTGGACCTCAGCAGAGTTGTGAAAGGACTCTGAGTGTTACCTGCCTGACCCAGGCAGGATGCAGAAGAACTTCCTTCCTGTCATTTCTGGCCCTTGCTTTCTGGCCCCTAGCTTACCAGAGTGAGCAGATACTGAAGGAGATCAGGCTCCAGGCCCAGCGGTCCAGATCTGCCCATCGCCGCCATTCACCGGCTGCCAAGGAGACAAAGGAGACCACAACAGAACAGGGCACCCCTGCATCTGCTCCCTGTTTCAGATGTAAGTGAGCTGCTGGAGAGAACGTGTCCTAAAGCTCTCCGCGCGCTGTCTGGACAGCCAAGTGTCTGTCTTGCTGCCCAAGCTCTACGGGGGCCCTGCCAACCTCCCTTTAAAAACAAAACAAAACCAAACCTTCCCATCCTGCCACGTGGGGAAGGCATTGTGGCCCCTGCACGGCCAGTTCATTCCTGGTTTGGTCGTGGGTGCACAAGGGTGGGGTGGGGGGGTGGGGGGTTCTCTGCCCCTGTCTTTGTAATGCTGCTATGGCATGGTCCACTCAGCCAGCTAATGGGCGGAGGCCTCTGCCAGCCTCTAGCCAGGGCTACTGCTGTGTGTTATATCATAGGCCAGCTCATCATCTGCCCACAGGGGGCTTCCTTTCTATCTGAGATGGACAGGGCTGTCTGAGCATTTGAAGGACTAGGAGTTTGATGATGACTCCATTTCTGTTCCCTGCTGCAAGTAAGCCACCAGGAATGTGTGTGTGTGTGTGTGTGTGTGTGTAGGAGTGTGCATATGTGTGCATGTATGTAGACTTATGTGTATACATGTATGTATGTGTGTGTGTGTGCATGTGGGGGTGTGTGTGGTGCTGGAACCAGGGCCTTATCGTGGCTCAGAAGCAAATGCTCTCCCATTGCGCTGTCCCACTAGACACACCCTGTTGTTTTTTCAGTCCCCTGGGTTGGTGACCCAGTGGGTTCCTAACCACACAGAAACTGCTGCTTCAGCAGCCAGACAGCTGGGGAGCTGGCACTCCCCCAGCACTTTTTCACTGGTTGATTTCCTGATTGGTCAGCCATACTCAGTCCTTCTGAGTTTATCTCTTCCTTTGAGATAAGGCCTCGGGTCTGTGGGCACGAGAGGGTACTGCTCCCAAGCCTTCAGTGATTCTGAGAAAAGAGGAGGCACTGGGCCCTGGGTCCTTGGCCAAGATCTTCACCCACATCCGGCCAGGACTGGAGACCGTTAGGCTAGCAGGGGCCTCAGAGACCCCTCACTGCCCAAGCTTCTCGCTTTGCAAACACCAGGGTGCAAAAAGAGATGGGAAGCAGGTGCTGGTGGCTCACATCAGTGATCCTGGCTGCTCAGGAGGCTGAGGTCTGAGGATCAAGGCTCAAAGCCAGTCCAGGCAGAAAATTTTTATCTTCAATTATCAACCAAAAAGCTGAAAGTGGTAGAGTTCTAGGATAAATGCTCAGGGACAGTACCCAGGGATGGGGGGGGGGGGGGGAGGGAAGGAAGGAGGGAGGGGGGAGGGAGGGAGAGTGCCTAGAGCTAGTGACAGTCTTAGCCTGGACCCTGAATGGGGCTTGCCAGAGCAGAGCGGTTGTGCTGGGCACGCTGCCCTCCTGGTGCCCATTCTGCACAAGTGCCACTCAGCCTGGTGTGCGATTCATTCGCTGTGGATGAGCTCATTTGGGCAGCAGGAGCGGGCTCCTGGGCTCATTCCTGACTATTGCTGGCAGCTTTCTCTCCAACCACCCTTCTCCCCGTCTTTCTCTTCTGGGGGGCTCTGTGTATCTCTTCATCACTCTTTGTGTGGCTGGTTCTGCCTCTGTCTTTGTCTCCTGCCTCTGTCTCTGTACTCCTTGGATTGTTCTGGAAAGAGGAGCCATGAGTCTCTCCCCCCGCAGATGACAGCCATACATCCTCAGACAGCTTGGACAGCTCCCCTCCCACGGCCCAGGTAATCACACCCCATGGGTCCCTGCTGCAAAACAAGGAGGTCAGGCAGCCCCAGCTATGGAGAACGGAGGGAGAGAGGAGGGGTGGCCAGTCCCAAAGCATCCTTAGATGAGAGCTGCCCCACCTCCTCCTATAGTCCCAAAGTGGGTCTGAGCAGACCATCTGTGAATGCACCAATAGGAACCCCATCTCCCCAGCTCAGCCCCTGCCTCCAGGTCTGCTGAGTCTCATCCTCTCTTCCCTTCCCAGCCTCACCTCCCACATGCCTTTCCTTAAGCTGGATCCTTGTAGGCAAGTGAAATGAATTCACTAGCATTCTTCCTCATTGCCCGGGCCCCGTCTCAGCTACCAACAGGGTCTGAGTTATTTCCCAGCAAGCCTTGGGTGAGCCTCTGAAAGAGCTCAATCCTGGAGTCTTGCCTTCTCCAACGGAGCAGAAATCTCTACCCACCTCACATCTTGCTTTCTTCTTCAGGCCACCAAGGACGTGAATTACACACAAGTGTTCTTCTCAGCAAATGGAGGACGAAATAAAGACCCTGCCTGGGACTATGAGGACATAAAGGAAGCCACAGACTATGTCAATGTTATCCCCAAAGGTCATAAACCCCAATTATGGACTATCATGAAGCCTGCCATCTCTGAGCCTGTGGAATACACTAAAGTGGCCATGTGAATTCTGCTTTTTTTTTTTTGGTCTGGTCGTGGGGACTGAACTCTGGGCCTGGTGCTGTCCTTCAGCTCTTCAGCTCAAGGCTAGCGCTCTACCACTTGAGCCACAGTGCCACTTCCGGCTTTTTTCTTTCTGCTTATGTGGTGTGGAGGAATCGAACCCAGGGCCGCAGGCTGCAAGGCAAGCACTCTACCACTGAGCCACCTTCCCAGCCCGAATTCTACATTTCTTAAAAATGAGGTGCAACGTCTACAGATTCTTACATTTCTTTTGTAGTGCAATTCTTTTTTGGGAAAAAAAGCCCCCCCCCCCTTTTTTTTTTTGGTGTTGTTGGTCCTGGGGCTTGAACTCTGGGCCATCCTTCAGCTCTTCAGCTCAAGGCTAGCACTCTACCACTTGAGTCACAGCGCCACGTCTGGCCTTTTCTGTTTATGTGGTGCTAAGGAATCAAACCTAGGGCCTCATGCATGCAAGGCAAGCACTCTACCGCTGAGCCACCTTCCCAGCCCTGAAAAGCCCCTATTTTTAAAGCAAATCATGGGGGGAAAATAGGCTAATATTCTAGTAAGACTCAGATCAGATGTTAGGAATCCTTCTGGGCAAAGCATGAAGACCTTAGAGAGAAGGCAGTACAGCGAGGTCTTTGTAAAAATTCTCATCAGCTATATGAAGCTCTGTTTGGTGAAGGTTAAATGATTTCTCTTTGAGCTCATTAATCATTGGCAAGAAACAACTTCCTTAAAAGTTTTAAGTAAGGGGCTGGGGAGGTGGCTCAGTGGTAGAGTGCTTGCCTTGCATGCATGAGGCCCTGGGTTCGATTCCCCAGCACCACATAAGCAAAAAGAAAAAAGCCGGAAGTGGCACTGTGGCTCAAGTGGTAGAGCGCTAGCCTTGAGCTGAAGAGCTGAGGGACAGCACCCAAGCCCAGAGTTCAGGCCCCACGACCGGACCAAAAAAAAAAAAGTTTTAAGTAAAATTACAACCCCTGGTTCTCTTTTTTCCTCTTGCATAGCCCAGTACTCTGTCCCTTTTATCAGCGATGCATTTTGCTTTGTAATCCTGCTTTGTCCTCAGAGATGGAGATAATTCCTGCTCTTATCAGCCAACCTATGACTTTGTTGTTTCTTATAAGCAAAAGACAACAAACAAGACCTTAGTCAAAACCAGACAGCATCAGAACTAGTTACTCCAAGGAAAATCTTCCCATGTTTAACCAAATAAAATTCAATATCCGTCCATGGGTGTTTGGAAAGTTTGTAAGACCACATCTCAACCAATGGCTTGGCGAGGCTGCACACACCTGTTATTCCAGCTATTGTCAGAAGCATAGATAGGAGGATCACGGTCCAGGTCAGCCCAGTCATAAATCAAGATCTACCTCGAAAAGTAATTAGATCATAATGTGCTGGCAGAGTGGCTCAAATGGGAAATCACCTTGCCTTGCAAGCATGAAGCCCTGAATTCAACCCCTAGTGCCACTAAGAACAAAAAGTGAAACAATATTAAACAACTGCTTGTCTGCTGGCCAAGATGGCTCATGCCACCCATGTGTCTCTACATTACTTGGTAGGTAATCAGTAGGATGGAAGTTCCAGATCAGCCCAAACAAAAGTTAGGAAGACCCCATCTCAATAAGCAAGCTGGGTATGTGGTAGCATGTGTCTGAAATTCTATCTACATTGGAGGCCATACGTAGGAAGATTCTGGCCCAAAGCTGATCCCAAGCCAAAATGCAGGCCTTTACCTGAGAAACAAACTATAAAGCAAAAAGGGCTGCAAAAATGGGGGCAGCTTCCTGGGTAGCTCATACACCATGCATGTCGAGAACAGAGGGAGCCACAACCCAGCTGGGAAGGCAGCAGGATGGTGCAAGATTCCAGCACACTGCTCAGAAGGGTGTGCAGTTGAAAACCTACTGTTTCTTCCAGGAATTTCCCATCTAACCTTTCTATACTGCAGCTGACCATGGGTCACTGAGCTGGTGCAAAGTGATCAGCATCAGCCAAGCCATGTGGCCTTTGTGATATTTGCATGTGCTTCAAGCGTTGGCTGCCTAAATCTGTAAGAACAGTCACTGTGAACGTTGTCGCCCCAGGAGAAGCAGTTTCTGGCTGAGACAAGGTTATATGTCATTGTCACCTCCAGGGGGAAATCTTGGGCTCCATTCTGGGCATCTCCAATGGGATACGGAAAAACAGCTTGACCTGTAGCACCTGTACTGGCTTGACTTCTTGTCAACATATCTTGGAAATAGAGACCACAGTAAATGCGACCTGACTTCATTGAAATCTTTTTCCCCACTTGGTTTTTTTTTCTAGTTGTGTGTGTGTGTGTGTTGTTATTTGATTTTTAAGATATGTCTATATAGCCCAGACTCAACTTGATTTCGTGATCTTCCTGTCTCAGCCTCCTGTGGGCTGAGGTTACAGACACACACCACTGTGCTCCATGCAATAATTTTTTATTCGAAAGTAACAAGCATCAAAATCCCCATGATTGGGAGGCTGCAGGAAAATTCCATGCCCATCCTATTAACCATCCAAACTTATGAGGGTAGGGAGTTCTTTTGTGCCTACTATTTGTGGTTTTCTTTGCTCCTGAAATGAGGGTTGCTGGACTGAGGGTTCTCAAGAGGCCTGGGCCCTTACACAAAACCAGAGCATAGTAAAGTAACTCCAGCTCATGTGTGGGTTTAGTGTTGTTTGTCTGTCTGTCTATTCACCCATCTATTTGTGGTGGTACTGGGGTTTAAACTCAAGGCCTTGCTCTATCTAGGCTGGTACTCTCTCACTTGAGCCATGCCCTGACCTTTTTTGATTTAGTTAGTTTGGAGTAGTCTTGCATTTTCCTCCAGCCATCCTGGACCAGAATCCTATGAACATCTCCCAAGTAGTTAAGATGACAGGTGTGCAGTACCACGCCTAGCCTCCTTGACTGACACAAGGTCTCGTTAACTCTTTATACAGACTGGGCTTTAACCACAACTGTTACATTTGCTCCTCATACCCCATAGCTGGGATCACAGGTATGTGCTACTGTGCATGGCTCATCTGGTGTTTTGAGGTTCCACGATCTCCCTAGAGCAGGCAGGCTTATGTTTCCTTACCTTTTGGGCAGTGGTGCCTGTGCTCAGTTCTTCCTCTTCAGAAGACACCCTTAGCAAATACATCCTCTGTGGCTTTAGCTCTGTAAAGCATGTGACCCAAAACTGGGTCAAAGGGGCGACCATGCTAGGACTTTGAGAAAACGTTAAGTATAGCATTTACTCCGAGAGGTGGATGCTTTTCCCTGCTGGCCCCTGGGGGAGGGGGTCATTATGGCTTCAGGCCTTCCAGAAGAGGTGAAGCGAGTGGAGAGCAACACTTGGCTATACAAGGTACTTCTCCCAGATTCTCAGGCAGCTCAACCCAGCCGGCCCAGCTCAACCCTGCTGACCACGCCTGCTCTTTCAGCTCCACACTGCCACCTTGTGTCTCCATGGAGAACTCCAGGACACTTGAGCAGAGGGGCACCCTGACCCCCTGGTCATGGGGGCTGCTTGCCTCAGAAGATCACATTTCAATTTTATCTTGCATTGCCCATTGTCATTATCCCAAGGGAATACAGATGCTCCTGTATATTAAAGAGATTTATTAGTTTCACATTCCAGATCCGAGTTACCTGGTGTAACCACGGTTAAATTTATGCCCTTCCCCTCCCTCCATAAAAAGCACAGACAGGCCTCATCACCTGGGAAATGACCACCTGTGCCGAACAACATCAAACGTCAATCTGAGGAATCCCACAGTTAGCCAGCTAATAATTCACATACCAAGCAACCTCTTCCCTACCTGCCCCTGACCTGTGCCTACATAACTACGTAAATCTCACTCTCCTTCCCTCCCTCCCCCTCTGTTTCTGTGCTTATTATGTATTTTGAGAAGTTTCACTGTATAGCCCACATTGGCCTTGAACTCTCAATCCTCTTGTCTCAACCTCCTGACTCCTGGGATACAGGTGTGCATTGCTGTGCTCAGCTCCTACACAGGTTTTCAGAGGCTGAAGTTCTGTACTTCACAGTCCACAGGAGGCTGTGAACAGTTCACACAGTGCCCAGCCCAGAGGCAATGTTTTTCAGTGTCTTCGGGGATTAGTGGTCAGAAATCAGCCTGACCACAGAGAGCACAGAGTGCCTCTCTCTCACTTCCCACAGAGGCTTACACTCTCCCCCTATGAAGGCTCACCCCTGGCTCAAGCTGACCCTGAGAACTTCTACAGCTCCAGCAAAAGCTGCCGTTCAATGATCCAGAAAGAGGTATCATTTCTTCCAGGAGGCCCCCGGCACAGACACAGGCCCCTAAGTCTTGAGGCCCAGTGTCTGCCTGCTCCCATTGGCCTTACCACAGAACCAAACCAGCTTACTGGAATAGGTCAAGTGCAGCCTTTCCACGGGAGGAAGAGTGCAAGACCAAACAGCACTCCACCAGGAAATTCCCCTTGTACAATATTGGTACTGGGCTGCTACCCAAGGCAAGAGGTAGCCAACCTTCTCGGCGCTCCTCCTCTCCTCTCTTACCTGTAGACACTCTGGACCCAGGCATGGAAGTCACCCACCAGATGCAATTGGGAACCAGTCCATGGCTGTGCTCTGATGTCAGCAGAGAGTTCTATTGCCTACAGTCCTAGAAATCCTGCCCCTAAAGCAGCATGGCCGTTTCTACTTGCTCAGCTCCTGGGCAACTTGCTGCATTTGTGCAGCTAGACAAAGGGTGAGATCTAGTAAGCTGAGGTTGAAGGAACTCAAATTTGAGGCCAGCCTGGGCTACATAGTAAGACCTTAGAAAGAGAGAAACAGAGACAGAGAAAGAGACAGAGAGAAACAGAGACACAGAGATAGAGTAGAAGAAGGGAAGGAAGGAAGGATGGAAGGAAAACAAAGAAAAAGAATGAAAAAAGTAACAATAAGAAGGACACTGGGCTCTGGTGGCTCATGTCTATAATCCTAGGTACTCAGAAAGCTGAGAT